GAGTGTTCAGAGCACGCAAGGGGCCCCGGCGGTAATTATTTCTTTGCATGATTACCAAGCGCTGAAGGTGTCTTTACCAGCTACAAGCACCACCCCTCTGTGTGTGTGTGTGTGTGTGTGTGTGTGTGTGTGTGTGTGTGTGTGTGTGTGTGTGTCTCTCTCTCTCTCTCTCTCTCTACATTTAAGTCAATATCGCCATCAACAGCAACTACAACAACACAACCAACAACAAAAACAACAACAACAATAACAACAATAACAACAACAACAACAACAACAACAACAAAACAGCAGCAACAATAACAATAACAACAAACGAAAACAAATGAAACAACTCCAACAAGAACAAGAATAAACACAACAACGACATTCCTCTCTGTCATTTGAACGTAAACTAAAACGTTCTTTATTGACGTGATAAGATAGAACGTTTTCTTTCGCAACGTTTATAACTCAAGTGTTAATTTTATGACTTAGAGAACGTAAACTTGTGAGTATATGTGTGAGTGTAAGTATATATATGAAGGGTATACATGCTTGTGTGTGTGTGTGTGTGTGTTTGTGTGTGTGTGTGTGTGTGTGTGTGTGTGTGTGTGTAGGTGAGTATACTTGTATAGAGTTGTTCAATACGTTCTTCAGGTGTGTGTTATTGATGATCAGTATTCCAAGCCTACACACACATACACACACACACACACACACACACACACACACACACACACACACACACACACACACATACACACACACACACACACGCCTTGATGAATGAGGGACCTAAGTATAAATCTCTCTCTCTCTCTCTCTCTCTCTCTCTCTCTCTCTCTCTCTGTCCTCTGCGTGACTCCACAACCTCGTTATTCAAATCAGCGTCTCAGAGCCGCTTGTTCCCTGAATTTCAATAGTTTACAAACGTATAATTTCGACCAGTTGGCCCGGTCTGGCGCGCAAGTGGTAGTTAGCTTGGCCTGGCCCGACCACACCACCAGCCGACCAGACCCTTCTCTCTCACACTTCGCTAGCCACACCACCGATCAGACCTATTTCTATCTCTCTTAATTTCGTTAGCCACACCAGCGACCAGACCCTCCTCTTTCACATTTTGGTAAGTCACACCACTGACTATACCACTCTCTCTCACACTTTGCTAGCCACACTGTCGACCACACCACCGAATATCCTGTGAACCAAACCACATCGCCGAAAAGACCACAGGGACCAGCCACATCATCGACCAGATCCTAGGACGACCATACCACTGAACTCCCTGATCCTACTACGACCAAATCACGGATCAACCAGACCACCAAAAATGAGGTCAATATCACCTTAACGATCGACCAAGATGACCTACCAAACTACCGACCAACTCAACCAGAGCCTCGACCACATCCCGGCTCACAAAAAATTATTCTAATTATATAAAAAAATTTTAATCAATCAAGTAGAAAACAAAAACAGTAACAACAATAAAAAAACTTGATAAATAAGGATAAAAACATAGGAAGGGAAAAATGAGTAAAACGAACAAAACAAAAACAAAAGAAATACAAGAAACAAGAATAACAGATAATAGTAATAAAGGAATAACTCAATAATTAAAACATATACTGAACCCTTTAGAGTATGAGTCTAAGGGTGTTCAATCCCCTTTAAAAGGATCCGATCCTATAAGGGAGAGAATTGAACACCCTAAAAGACAGAACTCATAAATATTTAGACATTACCTGGGACACACACGAGGGAGGGAGGAGGGGGAGGGGAGATGGGAGGGAGAGAGAGAGGGCGTAGGAGGATATAGACCAGATGGCCAAGAGGTAAAACAATGTCGGTTTAAACTCTCCTAAACCGGGTGTCTCTTATGTTATTCTCCCGACCTTGAGATGGCGGCTCTTGTGGTGTCACGTAGGGAGAGATGAGAGAGATGTGAAGAATTATATATAGGGAGATAATATTTAATAAACTGGTAGATAAGGGAATGAATAAATATATAGATACATACAGTAATTAGACAAATACACACACACACACACACACACACACACACACACACACTCACACTTTCACTTTCACACACACACACACACTCACACACACACACACACACACACAAAACGTAGTGGACTGAAAAGATTACTATCTGTCTTAGCGTTGAAATCACCACTACTACCACCACAAGTACTACCACTATTACTACCACCACTATCACCACCATCACTACTACTACCACCACCACCGCTAACCCCATCAGGACATTGAGGTCAGGAGTAGCTTTATAAATAGTAAGACACACATACAAACACACACAAACACAAGAGACAAACAGACATACAAACATATATAAACCAATAGTGTGTAAAAAAAAGAACATTTTCTATTCAACAGAGGTTTAGTTTTATAGGACAATCAAGAAATAAACATTGAAGATATATATATAATTTCAAAGTTACAAAAATAATAATAATAATAGAAAAAAAAATATCCTAAAACAAGACCAGACAAGAGACCTTTACGGGTTAGTGAAATGTATAGTGTATGTGTGGAGGACTCCGTAAAGGGGGCAAGGGGGAGGGGGCAAGGGGAGGGGGGCAAGGAGGGGCAAGGGGGGTATTAGTATCAGTCGAGCGTTCCCACGAATTATTCTTTATTTTAATCTCATTATGCAAACTGTCTCTAATGAAATAATTACCGTGTCACTCCCGACGGCTCCTTCTTTTATGTTTCACTTCCTCCAGTAGTAGGAGCAGCCTGATGGGGTGTAGGGGGGGGTGGGTGGAAGAGGGGTGACAGATGGGATGGGAAGAGGGAGAGGGAAAGGAGGAGGAGGAGAGGAAGGGAGGAGAAGGGGTGGGTCTGGGGGGAAAAGAGGAGGAGGAGGAAATGTAAGGGATAGGAGGAGAAGAGAAGGAGAAGAAGAAGAGGGGAAGAAGAGAAGGAAGTGACGGAAGGGATAAGAGGAGAGGAGAGGAAAATTGGAGTGACGGAAACAAAGAAAATGATTGGATAGAAAGAAGAGTCGTAGTGAGAATAAAATAAAACAAAATGAAACGAAACAGAGGATGAAACACTATGGATAAAGGGAGAATAACAACACAATGAACCAGATGAAAGAAAACATTAGAAAACACAGTAATAATAAAGAATAAATAAGAAAATAATTCACATATACAATACTTGAATTTTTTTTGTAAAAGTAATAAAAAAAATCTCGATAAAACGACTAATGTCCCTTTGGTCTCTAGGTGTAGTGTGGGTGGTGGGTGGTGGTGGGCAGGTGGTGGGTGATGGGTGGGTGGTGGATGGTGGGTAGTGTGGTGTGTGGTGTGGTGGGTTAGTGGTGGTGTGGGGTCAGTGGTGGGTAGTGTGGTGGGTGGTGGTGGTGTGAGTGGTGAGTGGTGGTGGTGAGTGGTGGGTAGGTGTGGTGGTGGGTGAGTGGTGGGTAGTGAGTGGTGGGTAGTGTGGTGGTGGGTGATGGGCGGGTGATGGGCGGGTGGTGGATGGTGGGTAGTGTGGTGAGTGGTGGGTGGTGAGTGGTGGGTGGTGAGTGGTGGGTATACGTGTTGACAGGTGAAACTCGCACTCTATTGTGGAAAGTGAGTGATGAGTGTGTTATAACAATCCACTTACGTCACACAGACTCATTAGGACACACTTTACGATATCATGGAGAGGTCACTTGGGAATTCACACCTTGGCATCATAGAGAGATAAAGTTAATCTTGTGTGTGTAATAGTACGGTTGACTTCGTAGCTGACGTCATGAAGGTGCAAAGTGGTGTTGACGTCCATTAGGGTGTTGACGCCCATTATGGCATGTGGCCCACAGTGTGTTCAGGACATGGTAGGTGTGTTGACCATCTGTTGTGTAATACCAGGTAGGACTCCCATGATCACCCACTCACGCGCCTCGCTCCATGTGAACCATTAATGTGGCAGTGAGTCCTTGAGATTAATTCACCATGTTTTACACCATGATGGAATTTCTTTTGGGCGTCCTACAAGGTGTGTGTGTTTGTGTTGGGTTATACAGGGTGAAGGGTTCTTGGGATGGAGAATGTTCACTGTAGCCTGGGTCTGGTGGTCGTTTGTGAAATTATTATAAAAAACAGTGGATGTGACGCTTCCGGTGTTGATGGACGATAATAAAGGGTTTACGAGGCGCCGGCCATAAGTTGCAGAATCATTTATTTTTTGTGTCTTGCCATTAGAGTCGATATTAATTAGTGGTTCATAGTTATGGTAATGGCCTAGTTCAGCAGCCTTGATCTCGTGACCATTATCAGTTTTTGTTAACTTGTACATATTTCACAGCGTTGTAGACGCCGGTTCCATCCCGGGGCGCCCCCAGCTCACCCCGGCTGTAGTATATGTAGTGTACCTAACTTAACAGTTGGGGGAGTGAACACGGTCGAGTGCTGTATCGGCCGTGCTGCACATTTGTGTACCGAGGATTTAGTTACAGTGTGCTGTATCCACACTGTGCCCAACCGACCGTCGAGGCCGTTGAAACCAACTTTCACTGTCTTCACAATATACATTGTAGAACATACTTGATGGCAATATTCTAAAGGTTTTTCGTAATACTCAAGTTGTAATATATCCAGATGAATCAGTTAAGGCAGCAACTGTGGGAAAAATTGGTGACAAAAATTTAACGAAACTTTGACAGGAATATATCCTGTTGAAGAGAAGGCTTAGAGTGAGAGTCAGGTGTCAGCGTCTTCAGTACTGCCAGGTGTGAGGGTAATGTGAACAGCCTCTCTTTGTGGCATAACACACGCCTGTGCACCAGTCTTTTGGATTTCTGGTTTCCTTTAGTCATGTTGCCCTAAACACCTGCATTTGAGTCTAGCGTCTCCAGGTTCAATGAATTATTAAAAAACACATTTATAAAGATATAGACGATAAAGGTATTGGTGACAATCTGCCAATAGTTGTGTGAGTAACCAGTGAGGGACAGAGCAATACCGGCTGTGGACTACAGGGTGTCTGGTACTCACCTTTGGGAGGATTAATGGCGATGCCTGAGCGGTAGAGGTTCTCCTCGGTGGCCCAGTCGTGATTCCTGGTCCACGTTCGAGCGGAAAACAGGAGGAAGATGACCACAAGCGCTGCCTGAAGGAGGCGACGGGTGCGGGCAGTGCGTGCACGCGCGTGTAGGAGATGCGCCCCCCAAGACACTAGGAGACACACACCCATGGAGGGGATATAGAGGATTCGCTCCGCTACCACGAAGCCCACGTAGAAGAACAGGTTGGTGGCCGGCAGGAAGGGCAGAAGGATGAGGGCAAGGCCCATGACGGTTACGTCGCTGGACGTGGTCGCCTCACTGCCGCCAGCCTCGTCGCCTAGCCGCCGCCGCCGGAGAGCCACCAGCGAGGCCAGCGCCAAGAGGCCCAGGGAGGCGTAGAGGGCCATGGAGGCCAGATTCCTGGGGTCCGCCAGGGACGTCACCAGCGGAATGGCCTCCATGGACCAGTCGAAGGACAGGGTGTAGGGGCAGAGCAGCAACCACGCGTTGAACGCCGGCAGGAAGAAGAAGGTGAGGGCTCTGACCCCCGGAGACTCGCAGTCCGCCGCCGGATTATCCGCAGGAGCGAACTCTGGCGGCTGGGACCCCATGATGGCTAGGCGGCAGGAGAGAAGAACCACGAGGGCGGCGCCCAGGGCCACCAGCCCCTCCATCACCCCGCGGTGGCGACGCTGCAGGACAAGACAAAACACTGCTTAATACAATCAAGGTGGAGACAGTCTACCTGTCTAGCGATGTCCAATAATCATTTTTCCCCATCTAAAGCAGGATGACTAATGCAGCTTCTCTACAAATACTGCCATTAACTCACAATTGCCCTAAACAATAACCCCCAAATACCTTACTCAAACATCAAACGGTGAGTTAGGATGATTGGATCACAGTAAATTGCTATCATCACAACACTCATATATCCACGGGAGCAGTGATGCGCTCAGGTTAAGCCTACATAATAATCTCTTCAAGACCCGTGAAATTACTAGTTATTTTTAAGTGAGTGGACGATAAAAAGTCCTGATACAATAATGCATCTCCGAGGTCCAGGTTGTGTTCTTTCTGTCCAAGACATATCAGCCTCCCTAGACAGCTGATGTACTAATTGGCTCATGTTGTCATCCATCATAAAGATATTGGTCATTATTCTCAAAACTCTATCAGTAAAAAAAAAAAAAATATGTATCTACCAGTCTAATTTAAAAGAATTCCACAGCATTAAATATTCTACTTTTTTCTTCTATTAAAATTATAAATTAATGATACAATCTGAGGCAGGAGAGAGAGCTGCGTGTTCTTAATATTAATAATAACTCTAGCTGATCAGGATGGGTTTTTGTCTACTGATCGATGATGATCACTCGAGTGTTGAGTACATGGGATGGAAGAGTGAGGTGTTATTAGTTACACACACACACACACACACACACACACACACACACACACACACACACACACACACACACACACACACACACACACACACACACACACACACACACACACACACACACACACACACACACACACACACACGTTCACATAGTCCAGACGAAAACAACAGGAAGTAATTCTCATACCATAAAAATAACCCCGACACTAAAGTCAGAAGACGGGCGGTAATGTTCGCCGGACGCAGCTTCCATATACATGTCATTGTGTGCAGGAGAGAAACACCGAGCGCTGTTGACCGCTTCGGCTTTTGAGCTGTTTTGCTGGAACGGTTCATTTACCATAACAAAAACAGAGAGCGCCATTGGGTAGGAGAGAGAGAGAGAGAGAGAGAGAGAGAGAGAGAGAGAGAGAGAGAGTATCATCCTGGACTATTCATTATTACTACGTGGAAGGTGGACGCCAGGCAATGCTGGATGCTCGTGCTGTCGCTATTTGTGTTAAGGAGGTGAGTGTAGGAGGAGGAGGAGAAGGAGGAAAAAGAGGAGGTAGGAGTGAGTGTGGGAGAGCGTGGGGTCCATTCATCACCCGCCAGAGCACCGTGTTTAGCTGACTGGTGTAGCCGAGGAGCGCCGTCTGAGGCGTGTCATCAGGAAGACCAACGGCACCGCGACAGGAAATTTATTGTCAGGTATTTAGCCGGTGTGATGTATGTGGGCCGGACGAGCCGACTACCTGAATACACACTCACACGAAACGGAATCTTCGCCGCTGCCACTCGTCCCTTCGTCAGTAGCGGGCGGAAAGATGGACGGACGGATGGAAGGCGAGTACAAGACAAGAACGAGGACTGAACGGGAGGTGCAGGTGCGGCTTCTGGATAAAGAGAGACAGAACGTTTGGAGAAGAGACTGCTGGTGGCGAGGACTGAACACTGCCGCAGCGGTCACTGATGATGGGCTCGGTATAGGAGGGAGTTTTATGCTCTGCCAGGCCAGATAAATAAGGATAAAAGTCGTGGTTTTCTATTACAAGTGAGGTATAGCGCTGTTATGTTCGCCCCTTGACGGAGAGGCGGCGTGTGTGTGTGGGAGTGCTTGACTACACACCCTCGAGAGTCCCTGTATACGCTGCGGTTTACCCACCACTACCACCACCTCCTCTACCCCAGCATACTACCATTACCTAAACTAATCTGCATACACATATGCCGGGCACATCCACGCTATAAATACACGTCGTATGCACTTAATTTACATAAGATAAATAAATACACATGTTGTATGTAGCCCACGCACCACATGCTAAAGGCTGCTTCAGTTATGCTGTTTCAACTCGAGAAATGAAACAGGAAAACGAGGAGTTCGAATCTTGAAATGAAACAGGCTTCGTGTGTTACTTCCTCATACGCGAGTGACATGTTTTGATTGAGAAGAAATAAGAGTATATAAATGATAAGTGACGTTTATAAGTAAGTGTTATTGTATATTGTATCTTCACATGCAGCCTCTCTCTCTCTCTCTCTCTCTCTCTCTCTCTCTCTCTCTCTCTCTCTCTCTCTCTCTCTCTCTCTTTCTCTCTCTCGCGGTGGCCTCCATATTTATCTTCTTCCTCTTTATCCTTCTCCTTGAACCAAACAACAACAACAACAACAACAACAACAATACTTGCACCAAACAACAACAACAACAACAACAACAACAACCTCATTCCTCGATACAGTAGTACTAAGTTATTCATCTCTTTAAATAAACAACTTTATTGACTCTATCTTAAATAACCCTAATTGACTCGAACTATGCCAATTCAAACAACTTAATTGACTCAGCTCTTTAATCAAACAAGTCTAATTGACTCTAGCCAAATCAACCTAATTGAGTCTTTCTTCAAGCCAAACAATTCTATATTTAAACAACCTAACCAATCAATCCTCATCAATCAACTAAACCTAAACAAACCAAACCTAACTTAAGCTATCCTAACCAAATTTAACCTGCCTAAACCACACCAAACTTAACCTAATTTATCCTATCCTAACCTAACCTTACCTAACCTAACCTAACCTAATCTAACCTTACCTAACCTAACCTAACCTAAACCACACCAAACTTAACCTAATTTATCCTATCCTATCCTAACCTAACCTAACCTAACCTAATCTAACCTTACCTAACCTAACCTAACCTAACCTAACCTAACCTAACCTAACCTTCTTCTGATAACTTAAGAACTAATTACGAATCTCTTCCTCCTCCACCACCAACACCAAACAATAGTAAAACGCCCACCAGAACCCACCCAGAGGAAGATAACCATCAGAAGGAGGTCAGGAGGTGGGCAGAACGACCCACTAACCATCTGCCCCCTATGGGTCAAAGGTCACGGGAAGGTGGGTTAAGAAAGGTCAGTTCCCACCAGTGATGCGATCTATTCAGCCTTGACAGAGGTTATTGACAGAAGTTATCGACAGAGGTTATTGACAGAGGTTATTGACAGAGGTTATTGACAGAGGTTATTGACAGAGGTTATTGACAGAGGTTATTGACAGAGGTTATTGACAGAGGTTATTGACAGAGGTTATTGATGTGGTTATTGACAGGGGGGTTATTGACGAGGTTATTGACAGAAGTTATTGACAGAAGTTATTGACAGAGGTTATTGACAGAAGTTATCGACAGAGGTTATTGACAGAGGTTATTGACAGAGGTTATTGACAGAGGTTATTGACAGAGGTTATTGACAGAGGTTATTGACAGAGGTTATTGACAGAGGTTATTGACAGAGGTTATTGAGTTATTGACAGAGGTTATTGACAGAGGTTATTGACAGAGGTTATTGACAGAAGTTATTGACAGAGGTTATTGTGTCTATTGCGTCGACGGCTACTGTATCGCATTTTGTCTATTGTTGTGGCCATTGTATTGTCTATTGTGAGTCTATCTTCGTGTCTATCGTAGGGGTCTATTGTGTTACTATCGTCTCATCTATCGTTTGTCTATTGTTTTATATATCGTGTGTGTATCTTGTCCATTGTGTGGAGGAGGACGTGTGGAGGAGGACGTGTGGAGGAGGACGTGTGGAGGAGGACGTGTGGAGGAGGACGTGTGGAGGAGGACCTACTCCAACACTCTCTATTTACCAACACACTATCTACCTACCCCAACACACTCTATCTACCAACCCCAACACAATCTACCAACCCCAACACACTCTATCTACCAACCCCAACACAATCTACCTACCCCAACACACTCTATCTACCTATCCCAACACAATCTACCAACCCCAACACACTCTATCTACCAACCCCAACACAATCTACCAACCCCAACACACTCTATCTACCCAAACACAATCTACCTACCCCAACACACTCTATCTACCCCAACACACTCTATCCCCTGTTATCTACCTGAAGCTATGTCATCCCTTGCAAGGCGTCGGGAGGGAAGTTCGTGTCCGCCTCAGAGCCACCTTTTTAAGTCTCCTCTGCCACACGTATCTAGGCCCTTAGGACACCCTGAAACAAGAGCGTTTTTCCCCTCACACAGGTACTAGTAAGGTGAGCTTATCCGATGCAACCCTTCCTCCACAATGTAACCCTAAACCATGCAAGGTCCAGGTGAATCTCCAATTATCTTACGTTAATATCTTTCCCGTAACTTAAGAATGAAGGAAAAAATAATGAAAAAACACGTATTAAAACTTGCTAACTTCAGATACGATATAATGATTAAGAGTAAAAACAAACCAGATTCTTATCGGTATCTTTTCAGCTGTTTTAATTTGTCCGGAAAATGTAGGAAACTTTTGAGACTCGTGCACTCGGGTCAACATAGTGTAAAAATTGTTCGTGTCGTTGAGGTGGAAAATCCCATATTAAGTGTTGGGAGATAGAGGCATTCTGAGGTGCTACTAGAACCAGTAAGTGATCTGTTTTACTACCACCAATATGCACGATGGTGTTATTTCTAGGACGAACGACGCAAAGTTATCGAAAAAATGATATAATCTTCAAATATTAGAGAGAATTTCAGTGATATAAGTGGACACTAACTGGTGTTGTCATTTGATATAGGAAAAAAAATGCATTACTTATTGACTCGTAAAGTAATTGACAGCAGGAGTGTGGTGGGTGAGGGAGGGGTGTGGTGGGGGAGGGAGGGGTGTGGTGGGGAAGGGAGGTGTGTGGGTGAGGCAGGGGTGTGGTGGGTGTGTGGTGGGTGAGGGAGGGGTGTGGTGGGGGGAGGGGTGTGGTGGTGGATGGTGTTGGTGGGTGAGGGAG